TCCCCATCGTCGGCAGCCAGGTGAGCTCCGCCCAGTCCGCCATGAGGTCGTCGAGGTCGGTGCGTGGCACGGCGCCACTGCAGGCCTGCGTTTGTCCGCACCTGGGGCCTCCTCAGGGGGTCCAGGGCGGAAGGCGCTGTCGCGGCGACCGCCCTCCATAGCGAGACTCCCATGTCCGCAGGCCAGGGCCCCGATCGCCTCCGAGAGCGGCGGGGCATAGGCCAGAGCGGGGGCTGGACTTTCACCGGGGGCATGGGTGTTCTTGGGGGGAGGCTCAACGCTGTTGCCGAGGGCGCCCCCGAGCCCTAGAGGATCGCGGCCCTCGACGGCGACCGCGAAGGCCTTGTCACAGACTGCCTCCAGGTCGTCAGGGCTGATGCCTGGGATGGGGCTGTCAGCAGGGCCGACAGGGGACAGTCCCCCCGGGCCCATCCGGCGATGAGGGAGGCGCCGAGTGCGCGCGATGGTCGCAGGTATCCACCGCCACCCGTGGGGGAACCACGGCGAATCGACGTCGCCACTCGGCAGCTTCGACGACACCCCTCGGAAGGGCGCGCGGCTCCACCGCCCGCGAGCGGTCATCCCGTCGCCCCCGCGGTTGAATCATTCAGCCGCGACCGAGATGCGCCCAGCGTCGATGCCAGCCTGGCCGAGGTGGCCCCTCGGTCACTTCGACGCGGCACGGCCCAGGCTTCGCGGGTCCAGGCACGACGCACGCGAGCCGGCAGATCGCACTGCGATCTGGCGGTGGGAAGGCCAGCTCTGGTCAGAAGAGCCTGGAATCCGTCGACGACGGGCCTGCTGTCCATGGAGATGTGGACAGGGCGCTCGGCCGCGCAGAGCCTGCGATCCGGCCCGCTGAACGCTCTGCGACGGCCCGTGCAGGGCAGTTTCTAATACATAGTTCCAATAATTTCTAATAATAATGATGAAAAATATGCATACAACAAAAAAACAAATTATCCCGGCAAAGCGACCTAACAGCAATGTGTAGGAGCATATCTGGAAGCATTCCCCTTACGATTCAGATGAGAATCCAGTTGTAGAATTCTGCTGTTCTCGCAGTCGTAGTCGCATTCGCGATGACAGTCGCAGTGGCAACGGCAGTCGCAGTCACAGCCTCAGCCTCAGCCTGCCTCAGCCTCAGCCTCAGCCTGCCTCAGCCTCAGCCTGCCTCAGCCTCAGCCTCAGCCTGCTTCAGCCTCAGCCTCAGTCTGCCTTCAGCCTCGGCGTCAGCCTCAGGCTGCCTCAGCCTCAGCCTGCATCAGCCTCAGCCTCAGCCTCAGCCTGCCTCAGCATCAGCCTGCATCAGCCTCAGCCTCAGCCTGCCTCAGCCTCAGCCTCAGCCTGCTTCAGCCTCAGCCTCAGTCTGCCTTCAGCCTCGGCCTCAGCCTCAGCCTGCCTCAGCCTCAGCCTGCCAGCCTCAGCCTCAGCATCTGCCTCAGCATCAAATGTGGCCCGGGAATGGAGTTCTGGGAACTCGAAGAACACGAAGTGGCCTACAGTTGGCTCCGGGCATTCAAAATCATGCCCAGGAATGGAGTTCTGGGAACTCGAAGACCACGAAGTGGCCTACAGTTGGCTCCGGGCATCCAAAATGTCGCCCGGGAATGGAGTTCTGGGAACTCGAAGACCACGAAGTGGCCTACAGTTGGCTCCGGGCATCCAAAATGTGGCCCGGGAATGGAGTTCCGGGAAGTCGAAGAGCACGAAGTGGCCTACAATTGGCTCCGGGCATTCAACATGTGGCCCGGGAATGGAGTTCTGGGAGCGCCAAGAGCGATTTTGCGAGGATGTCCCAAGCGATTTCGGCTTCGGCGGTAGCCGCCGCGGGTCCTGCCCAGACCCCCCTGTGGAGTCATCTGCTGCTCTCTTTTGACACCACTAGAAACCTATCCGTCTTCGCTGTTAGGTAAAAACTAATTTTTAAGACATGATTAATTCATGAATACATTTATACATGAACTCATCGTTGCTGTCAATGCTAAATCCTTGCATTTTTAATGCATGATCCGCACGCGGAGCATGTATGAAAAACAGCACTGTACACCCTGGCAGCGAAGCTGCCATCGGCTCCCTGCACCGGCAGCGCCGGTGGGCTGGGCGGGGGCACGCACCGCCAGTGGCCGCTGTACACCCAGAGGGTGCTCGCGAAAGGGCCTGCGCAGTCGCGGCTGGGGCCCCGCCGTCTCCCCCGGGCGGCGGGCGCGTGACCAGCTGCGCGGGTCGCGGGACAGGGGGATAAAGGAGGAGGAGGAAGAGGAGGAAGAGGAGGAGGTGGACGACGAAGAGGAGGAGGAGGAGGAGGAGAAGAAGAAAGAGGAGGAGGAGGTGGACGAGGAAGAGGAGGAGGAGGAGGAGGAGGAGGTGGAGCAGGAGGAGGAGGAGGCGGAGGAGGAGGTCACAGAGGCCCGGCTCCTCCCCGGTGGGACCGCGGCGCCGCGCGCGGGGGCCTGCAGCGCCTCCGACACGGCGCTGCTGCCCGAGCGAGGTGCCGGCGGGGCCAGCAGGCGCGTGCACCGCCGGACCGCACGGCCGCGTTCCCCTCCAGGTCAACGGGGAAGGGTCCGCGGACACTCTGGTCTGGCTGCCCCCGCAGAGATCGGTCGGCGAAAAGCGGAGCTCCCACGCGGAGGTCCGCGCCCTGCCTTTGGCGCGAGCGGGCCACGTCACGGCATCGAAGCACTGCACCTGTGAGACGGCCTGCAGCAAGCCGAGATCGCAGCGACCTGGCGATACATTGCGGAGGACGGCGCACCCTCTTGGGACACCCGGCCGAGGGCATGCTGAGCCATGTGGGCCGGACGCCTCCGTCGTCGCGAAGATGCCCAAAGCAGGCCAGGTCGAAAATGGAGCGGCGGTTGAAAGCGTCACTGCATCGGAGGCTGATCGCCTGGATGTCCGCGTGTGGGCCGGACACGCCGTCGAACAGCACAGCCCCTTGCAACGACTGGCTCGGCTCAGCTCAGCCGCGGGGGCCGCGGAGCTGCTGTCACCCACGCACGCGGTGCTCAGCGAGCGCGGCGCGCACGGGTGCGAGACGCGTGCCCAGACGCGCGGTGAGCTCGTTGAGGTCGTCCATGTAGAAATCATCTACACCTGGGGGGAAGGAGCGGGGAAGGAACCTGCGCGCTGTGGGAGTGCCCAGACGCGCAGTGGGAGTGCAATGCCGTCGATGGACCGAGCGCTCCCCTGCAGATGGCCGCTGTCACCAGGCGAGGGGACGGGAGCCGGCCCCTGACATGCGGGTGACGGCGGATGCGCGTGGAGCATGCGCCGCACCGCAACCACGCGGGAGGGCAGCCTGCGCGGAGAGCAAGGTTTATGTCGGGCCTGTCCCCCTACCGGAGGATTTTCGACGAAATATGCAAGATGCCCCAAAAAATACCCCCAAAAGGTCAAACAAATACCCCCAAAGGTCAAAAATACCCCCAAAAGGTCAAAAAGCCAAAAATACCCCCCAAAAAAAGTAAAAAAATACCCCCAAAATACCCCCAAAAATAGTCCGCAGACCATGTTTGGAGTCTTCTCTTGACTAGTTTGGGGGGCCTTCTTTATCTTGACCATCTTTGCTGACTTGCAGCAAGGTCGAGGCGGGCCTCTGGTGCCAGGCTTGGTGGTCCCCAAACGTGGTGGTGAGAACGCCCGGTGGTGAGTTTTGGGCGATTTGGGTAGTGGTTTTCGAGCGCTGGCTGGCCCAGGAAACGCAAAACCTCGTGGCGACCGCGTGTCCCCAAACCCGGTGGTGACCCAGAATTATTTTTGGGGGGGAATCGGGGTCACCACCGGGTGTCTCACCACCTGGTTTGGAGACCACCAACAGGCGGCCCAACCGCCTCTGGCGAGCGAGGCCCGCGCCGGCGGCCGGAGGGAGCCGCCCCGAGGCTGGCGCGGCGGGCCCTCTCTGGGACACGCCGGGCAGCCAGGCTGCGGCCCGCGGGGCGCCTCCCGCGCACGGGACGTGTACCTGATGAGCACCTGCTGTGGCAGTGAACTATACTCCAGAGTTCGTAATAAAAGGGAGGGGGTCTGGACCCGCCAAGACAAGCCATTTCAGACCCCCCCCCCGTGGGAGAGCCCTCCAAAGCATCGTCCCCAGACCCCCCCAGGCCCTCCAAGATAGCCTGGAAGAGACCCCCCCCGACATGAGACCCCCTCCCTTTTATTACGAAATCTGGAGTAACCAAATAGGAGACATGAGAAGCATAAAGGCTGGCTGGCGGGTACGTGGGGCAGAAGCCAAGCAGTGCGCAGGGCGCGGACATCGTGTCCTCGCGGTAATCCTGCGGCACGCCGGGCAGCCAGGCTGCGGCACTCGTCAAGTCGGGCCTGTCCCCCTACGGGGGGATTTTCGACGAGAAAATAAAAAAGCGCCCCAAAAACAGTCAAAAAGAGAGTCCCAAAATAGTCTGGGGACTCTTTTTTGAGTATGTTGTGTTGCCTTGTGGGGAGCATTTTCGGGGCATGTTTTATTTTTCGTCGAAAATCCCCCTGTAGGGGGACACGCCCGACTTAATACCAGCGGCCATCGGCCGCGGCCATCTGCGCAGGTACGCGATGCCCAGCCCTAACAGGAGACGGCTGGCCTCCCCGTGATGGGCGCCCACCACGGGGGCGGCGCGTCCCGCCTTGAGCCTGGGCACGGGCTCGTGGACAGCTGGGCTCCTCCGCTGCAGTACAGCGTCCGGGCGGGCGTCCGGGGGCGGCGGCTCCGAAGAGCGCTGAAGCTCGCGGTGGAGGTGGTGGGCGACCTCGTTGGAGACAGCGAGCCCAGAGGTCACGTCGCCTCGGCCTTCGGCTTCGGAGAGCCGTGCCTCGCGCGCCCACAGCGACATGAGGACTCCGAACGGACCGACCCCTGATGGGTCTGTTTTCCACCACCACCACCATAAGTTGGAGGGGGGAAGGAGGAGGAGGAGGCGGAGGAGGAGGAGGAGGAGGAGGAGGAGGAGGACCCCCTCCCCCTCCAACTTACGCGAGCTGGATGGAATCGCGACATCCGATCGGATCGGTAACAGATCGGATCGCCCGCGGATCGTCCCGAATCGAGTCGAAGAACCCGGATCGCCGGGCCCGGCTCTGGCTGGCCCTGGCCGATGCTGGCGAATCGAACCGAATCAAACCCCATCGGAATCGCGGCCCCAGCCGGCGAATCTAATCGCATAGAATCGGATCGCAGGGCGGCCCTGAACCATCCCGACCTGTTTTTCGAAGTGCGCCTAGCCGTGACCACGAGGCTCCCCTGGAGCCTCAACAAATTCAAAGGAAGATAGCCTTGCAGGTTTCGCCGCCGCCGCCGCGAGCCTGCTGCAGCATCGCGACGGCTCAAGTCGGCTCCTCCGCCGACACTGGCGACGACGACGACAACGACGACGACGACGACGACGAAGCCGACGAAGCCGCTGACGCCGACGCCGACGCCGACGTCGACGACGCCGAAGCCGACGACGACGGCGACGGACGCCGAGGCAGACCCGCGGCGCGGCGCGGCCCCGCGGCGGCGGGGGGGGACCGCGCGGGTGGGGGCGGCGGGGGGCCTGCAGCTCGCTGATGACCGCCGTCCCGGTGTTGCCGGCGGTGCAGCTCTCTTCGTGGCAGGGCGGCTGGCGCGCCGCCGCCGCCGGCGGCGGCGCCGTCGCCCGCGGCGCTCGCCGTCGGTCTTCGGCGGCAGCGGCGTGCGTCGTCGTCGTCGTCGTCGTCGTCGTCGTCGTCGTCGTCGTCGTCGTCGTCGTCGTCGTCGTCGTCGTCGTCGTCGTCGTCGTCGTCGCTGCCGCCGGCTGCCGGCGAAGAGAGGAAGTCGACCCCTCGGCTCTTGGCGGCGAGGCCCCTCCTGGAACTGGCCGCCCGCGCGCACCGGGCCAGCCCTCGCCCGGACTGGCCGCGCAGCCAGCCTCCCCGCACGCCCGCGGCACCGTCACGCGCCACGCCCCCCCCCCCCTAGGAGGGGATTCCTCGGGCGACACCCTCGGCGCCAGCACGCGGCCGGGGCCCCGCGAGCGCGCACCAGCGGTTTCTAGAGGAAGACTGCGAGAGAGAGAGAGAGACAGGGACGAGGAGGAGGAGGGGGAGGAGGGGGAGGAGGAGGAGGACGAGGAGGAGGAGGAGGAGGAGGAAATATGAAGAGGAGGAGGAGGAGGAGGAGGAGGAGGAGAAAAAGAAGAAGACGAAGAAGACAGGAGGGGGGATCGAGGATAGAGGATCGAAGCTTTTGGACGCCTCTGGGCCTTTTCCCGCCTTCTGGGGCGCCCTCGTTGCTACTGCTGGACAAGAATGCCCCCCAGGAGAAGGAGGACTTTGAACGGGAGGAAGTAGAGGAGGAGGAGAAGAAGGTGGTGAACAAGAAGCACCAGGAAAGGAAGAAGTGGAGGAGGTTGTGAACAAGACGCAAGAGGGGGAAAAGAACAGAGGAGAGAAGAAATCCTCCCCCCCACTCCTCCTCCCACGAACTCTACCACCACGAGAAAGACGACCACAACCATGACCACCACAACGACGGGGCCTCACACCCAGGGGGAGCCTGGAGCTTCCCAGGGACCTTGCGGGGCCTCCACAGCTCCCTTGTTTTCGGGGCTCTACGATGCCGTCGCGGGGCTGCCCTTGGGCGGCCGTGCGCTGGGAGGAGCGATAACCACTACCATCTCGACCACGACCACCAACACCACAACGGCGGCCCTCCCTGCTCTCGGGAGCGGCCAAGAGGGGGGTGTCCAAGACGGGAGGGGGGGGGGGGGGGGGCAAATCATGACCGGCGGCACGTGCGCGGCCCAGCGGGGGGGCCAGGGACGTAATGAAACAAGAAGAGGCGCCACGAGATCTGGGAAAGTATCATGGCCCCCGCCATGATATCCACCCCCCCCTAGTCATCACCCCCCTCTTTGCCGCCCCCGATGCTCGACCAACGGCGCGGCCGGATCACCACCCGGGGCGCGCGCCGCGTCCAGCCAGCCCATCGTCTCCGCGTCGTCGCCCCAGTAGGTGATGCGCATCGCCATGCCCTACAAGGGAGCCGCTCGCGCGGCCTTCGTCGTCGTCCCTGTCGTCGTCAGCGTCGTCGTCGTCGTATCGTTGTCGTATCGTTGTCGCATCGTCGTCGTATCGTCGTCGTGTCGTCGTCGTATCGTCGTCGTATCGTCGTCGTCGTCGGCGGCGCCGGCATCGGCGTCGTCGTCGGCGCGGCGGCGGCGTCGTCCCTGCCGTTGCCGTTCGTCCTCGTCGTCGTCGGTTGCCGTCGTCGTCGCCATCGTCGCCGGCCGCCGTCAAAAATCCTCCCTCTCCATCCTCGCTCGTCCTATTCCGAGGGGCCCCAGATGACGCTGTGGTTGACTACCTACCAGACCACCCCAACCCAATCCTGAAGACCCGAATTTCGGGTTGGGGAGGGTAATTAAGGGTTCCACATTTGTTTTTTCGATGGTTCCCGACCCCCCCCCACTGGAAATCGCCTTGAGGTCCCAAATGTGCCAAGAGGGCCCAAAGAGTCTAAAATTGCTGATTTTCCATAGTGTTTTTCGATGTTTTTTGCTTTTCCGCCTTTCCGGCTTCCCGACGCTCCAAAACAGGCAAAGAGGCCCCAAAGATACCCCCAAGATGGCCCAAGAGTCTCCCAAGACGGCCTCCAGACGGCCCAAGACGGCCCCAAAACGGCCCAAGAGGTCACCAAGACGGCCCACGAGGGCCGATTTGGAGGGGGGGAGGGGGCCGGGACGAGCGCAGCACGGCCGGGACGAGCGGTTCCAGGGCTTGTCCGGGCCCACGAGGGCCTCAAGACGGGCCAAGAAGGCTCCAAGAGGCCTCCAAGACGGCCCACGCAGGCTCCGAGACGCCAAACGACCCCTCCAAGACGCCCAAGATGGCCCCAAGACGGGCCAAGAGGTCTCCAAAAGGGCCCCAAGAGTCTAAAATTTTTGATGTCCATCGTGTTCTTCGATGTTTTTTGTTTTTCCGCCTTTCCCCCTTCCCAACGCTCCAAGACGCGCGAAGAGGCCCCAAAGATAGCCCCAAGATGGCCCAAGAGGCCCCCAAGACGGCCTCCAGACGGCCCAGGACGGCCCCAAGACGGCCCAAGAGGTCCTCAAGACGGCCCAAGAGGGCCGATTTGGAGGGGGGGAGGGGGCCAGGACGAGCGCAGCACGGCCAGGACGAGCGGTTCCAGAGCTTTTCCGGGCCCAAGAGGGCCTCAAGAGGCCAAGAAGGCTCCAAGAGGCCTCCAAGACGGCCCACGAAGGCTCCGAGACGCCAAACGACCCCTCCAAGACGCCCAAGATGGCCCCAAGACGGGCCAAGAGGTCTCCAAGACGGCCTCCCGAGGTCCCAAACAAGCCTCCCAAGAGGGCTGAGGTCCCAAATGAGCTTCCCAAGAGGGCCCAAAGAGTCTAAAATTGCTGATTTTCCAGAGTGTTTTTCGATGTTTTTTCCTGTTCCGCCTTTCCGGCTTCCCGACGCTTCAAGACGCGCGACGAGGCCCCAAAGATAGCCCCAAGATGGCCCAAGAGTCCCCCAAGATGGCCTCCAGACGGCCCAAGACGGCCCCAAGACGGCCCAAGAGGTCCCCAAGACGGCCCAAGAGGGCCGATTTGAAGGGGGGGGGGTCCGGGACGAGCGATCCACGGGGCTTTTCCTGGCCCAAGAGGGCCTCAAGACGGGCCACGAAGCCCCCAAGAGGCTTCCAAGACGGCCCACGAAGGCTCCGAGACGCCAAACGACCGCTCCAAGACGCCCACGATGGCCCCAAGACGGTCCAAGAGGTCTCCAAGACGGCCTTGAGGTCCCAAATGAGCTTCCCAAGAAGGCCCAAAGAGTCTAAAATTGCTGGTTTTCCAGAATGTTTTTCGATGTTTTTTCCTTTTTCCGCCTTTCCGGCTTCCCGACGCTCCAAGACGCGCGAAGAGGCCCCAAAGATAGCCCCAAGATGGCCCAAGACTCCCCCAAGACGGCCTCCAGACGGCCCAAGACGGCCCCAAGACGGCCCAAGAGGTCCCCAAGACGGCCCAAGAGGGCCGATTTGGAGGGGGGGGGGGTCCGGGACGAGCGATCCACGGAGCTTTTCCTGGCCCAAGAGGGCCTCAAGACGGGCCACGAAGCCCCCAAGAGGCTTCCAAGACGGCCCACGAAGGCTCCGAGACGCCAAACGACCGCTCCAAGACGCCCACGATGGCCCCAAGACGGTCCAAGAGGTCTCCAAGACGGCCTCCCGAGGTCCCAAACAAGCCTCCCAAGAGGGCCCAAAGAGTCTAAAATTGCTGATTTTCCAAAGTGTTTTTCGATGTTTTTTCCTTTTCCGCCTTTCCGGCTTCCCGACGCCCCAAGACGCGCGAAAAGGCCCCAAAGATAGCCCCAAGATGGCCCAAGAGTCCCCCAAGACGGCCTCCAGACAGCCCAAGACGGCCCCAAGACGGCCCAAGAGGTCCCCAAGACGGCCCAAGAGAGCCGATTTGGAGGTGGGGAGGGGTCCGGGACGAGCGATCCACGAGGCTTTTCCTGGCCCAAGAGGGCCTCAAGACGGGCCACGAAGCCCCCAAGAGGCCTCCAAGACGGCCCACGAAGGCTCCGAGACGCCAAACGACCGCTCCAAGACGCCCACGATGGCCCCAAGACGGGCCAAGAGGTCTCCAAGACAGCCTTGAGGTCCCAAATGAGCTTCCCAAGAGGGCCCAAAGAGTCTAAAATTGCTGATTTTCCAGAGTGTTTTTCGATGTTTTTTCCTGTTCCGCCTTTCCGGCTTCCCGACGCTCCAAAACAGGCAAAGAGGCCCCAAAGATAGCCCCAAGATGGCCCAAGAGTCCCCCAAGACGGCCTCCAGACGGCCCAAGACGGCCCCAAGACGGCCCAAGAGGTCACCAAAACGGCCCAAGAGGGCCGATTTGGAGGGGGGGAGGGGGCCGGGACGAGCGATCCACGGGGCTTTTCCTGGCCCAAGAGGGCCTCAAGACGGGCCACGAAGCCCCCAAGAGGCTTCCAAGACGGCCCACGAAGGCTCCGAGACGCCAAACGACCGCTCCAAGACGCCCACGGAGCCTCCGCGACAAAACGCTCCGTGTCCACGGAGTCGCGGCCCAGGGGCCCAGCCTGCGATGCAGTGGATCCTGACGTACTTCCTGCCCACGGGTAGGCACAATCCAATCGCGCAGGCCAGTGCTGGGGGAACTCCCACACACCCCGACGCCTTGATCTTTTGGCAACACACCCCTGGAGGTCTCTCCACCCCTTCCCCATGACCTGCTGGTTCTCCATCTTGGGTCGTCTTCTGACGGTCCCGGGGCCTGGCGAGGGCCCCCATAGGCCACCAGAGACAAAACTAGAAAAACCCTTCTGCCGCGACCCATTCACGACGTGAGGGGGGAGGAGGAGGAGGAGGAGGAGGAGGAGGACGAGGAGGAGGAGGAGGAGGAGGAGGAGGAGAGGATCTGGGCCCCCGCTGGCTCGCAGCGCAGGCCACTCCCGCAACGGGCCACTCGTGCACGTGGAACGAGGCCCCGCGGCAACGCCAGGGTCAGGCGCCCCACCTGCAGGATCCGAGCCTCGAGCTGTCTCAACGCAGTGGGGCCGCTCGGGCCAGGGGAGGATGAGGAGGAAGAGAAAGATAAGAAGGAGGAGGACAAAGAGGAGAAGGAACAGATGGCGACGACGACGACAGAACAATCCGAGGCCTTTTGGGGAGAGGGGGGCAAGGGGAGGCCTGGATGGCCAGAGGCCAGGGCCACCACACAGGACCACCTGGAAAGAAGGAAATCCGAGCTCGAGACACAGCTGTCAAGCAAACAACTTGCATGCATCTAGGGCCAGGTCGGGAATCTCCTCCTACGGTCCTGCAGGCGGATTTGGAAGGAGAACTAACATTAGTCGACCGAAAAAACATCAAAAATAATCCAGAAGGAGCAACAATCATTGGTCAAAAATCCGCCGACCCCTTGGGGATCATCGGCGTGTGAGATGCTTCCCCCTCCCCAGACCCCTCCCCCGGGAGCCCGGTCCGGTCGATTTGGAAGGGGGGGGGTACGGGACGAGCGCAGTACGGCCGGGACGAGCGCAGCACGGCCGGGACGAACGGTTCACGAGGCTTTTCCGGGCCCAAGAGGGCCTCAAGACGGGCCAAAAAGCCCCCAAAAGACCTCCAAGACGGCCCACGAAGGCCGCGAGACGCCAAACGACCGCTCCAAGACGCCCAAGATGGCCCCAAGACGAGCCAAGAGGACTCCAAGACGGCCCCCGAGGTCCCAAACAACCCTCCCAAGAGGGCCCCAAGAGTCTACAATTGTTGATTTTCCATGGTGTTTCTCGATGTTTTTTGCTTTTCCGCCTTTTCGGCTTCCCGACGCTCCAAGACGGCCAAAGAGGCCCCATAGACAGCCCCAAGATGGCCCAAGAGGCCCCCAAGACGGCCTCCAGACGGCCCACGACGGCCCCAACACGGCCCAAGAGGTCCCCAAGACGGCCCAAGAAGGCTCCAAGACGGCACCAATAGGGGCCCAAGAGGGCGACCAAACATGTTGAAACTCTAGTGTTCTGCCCCCAGGAGCCCCAGGGGGCCACAAGAGTGCCCCAAGAGGCCCCCAGAGGCCCTCACGAGGCCGCCCAGACGCCCCAAGGAACCACCAAGAAGCACCCCAAAGGCTCCGAAACGGCCCCCGAGTGGCTCCAAAACTCGCGGTGTCGCCGTCCGCTCGGACCTCCCCGCGGAACTGCCCGAGACCCTCTGGCGGTGGCGGCGAACAGACACCAAACAAATATCACTCGCCTTTTCACCCCTTCGCAGCTTCTACTACCCCCAGATTGGCATAAACAAGGGGTCGGCGGTGTGGCGTAAGCCTAAGATCGCTGGGTCGCCAAGCATTTGGCATGGGAAACCTCTGTTTCTAATTCGCGTCTGCATTTGGCATGGGAAACCTCTGTTTCTAATTCGCGTCTGCAGCTAATTCGAGGAGACAGGCCTACATCCCTTCGTTAGCGTCTGCAGCTAATAAGAAGAGATTGGGCCCTCAAGGGCTGGCCACGGGCC